AACACTGAGGGAAGAAATAGCAGAGGGATGTAAACGATGGAATCATTCCATGCTCATGGATCGGCAGACTCAACATCATAAATGTCTATACTACTCAAAGTGATCTAAGATTCAATTCAATACTATTAAAATCCCATCAGCATTTTCACAGGATATAGAAAAAATTTATTTTACGCTTCGTATGAAACAAAGAAGACCCCGAATATCAAAAGCAATTTAGGGCAACAAAAACAAAATGGGAGGTATAATATGCCAGTATTTCAAATATACTATAAAGCTGTGAGTAATTAAACCAATCTGGTATTGCCACAAAAAATAGGATATTGACCAGTGGAACAGATGTGAAGAATCCTGATATTAAAACCATCCTCATCATAGATCTAATCTTTGACAGAGCAGGACAAAAACATACCGCTGAGGAAAGAATCCCTTTCAATAAAGGTGCTGGGAAAACATGGATACAACTGCGTAACAGGCATAAAACGGACCCACACCTTTCACCTCTCACAAAAACACTCACGCTGGATAACAGACTTAAACCTAAGGTATGCAAACTATTAGAATTCTAGAGGAAAAAGTTGGAAACTCCTCCCTAGACTGGGGCCTAGGCAAAGAGTTTATGAAGAAATCCCCAAAGGCAATCACCAGCAGCAACAAAAATAAAATCAATGGGACATGATCAAATACTAAAAAAGCTTCTGCCAACCAAAGAAATAGTCATTGAAATAAATTAGACAAGCTACAGACATGGGGGAGAAAATTTATTGCAATCCTATGCATTTTGATAAGGGGCTGAAACTAGAATTATACTTAGAACTCACGAAAGATCAGCAAGAAAAAATCAAATAATCCTATTAAAAAGTGGGCAAAGGACCTTGAACAGAAACTTTATCAAAGAAGACGAAGGAATGGCCAACAAACATATGACAAAATGCTCAACATCTCTAAATCATCAGGGAAATGCAAATCCAAAACAAAATGAGATATCACTTAACTCCAGTGAGGAATGGACTTTATCAAAAAGTCTCCAAACAATAAATTCTGGCGTGGATGCAGAGAGAGGAGGAACAGTACCTATACTGCTGGTGGGACTGCAAAAAATAGTTCAACCTCTTGTGGAAGCAAATATGGAGATACGCTTAAAGCGATTACAAGTGAATCTACCATTTGACCCAGGCAATCATTACTGGCATCTTACCAAAAGATCTATGACACTCTACAAAAAAGACACCTGCACTCGAATGTTTATACAGCACAATTCACTAATTGTAAGGCTGTGGAAACACCCAAGTGCCATCAATTCCAAGAATGGATTAATAAAATGTGGTATATATATACCATGGAGTACTATTCAGCTCTAAGAAACAATGGTGACATAGCACATCTTATATTTTCCTGGTTAGAGCTGGAACCCATACTATTAAGTGAAGTTTCCCAAGAATGGAAAAACAAGCACCACATATACTCACCAGCAAATTGGTATTAACTGAGAAGCATCTAAGTGGACACATAGGTACTACAGTAATAGGGTATTGGGCAGGTGGTAGGGGAGAGAGGCACGGCTATATACTTATATAATGAGTGAGATGTGCACCATCTGGGGGATGGTCATGCTGGAGACTCAGACTTGTGGGGGGAGGGGGGAAGGGGCATTTATTGAAACCTTGAAATCTGTACCCCCATAATATGCTGAAATAAAAAATAAAAAAGAACTAGGAAAAAAAAAAAAAAGAAAGGAAAAAAATCATTACTTGGTGATATCAAGGGTCTTAGGATTTTCCTGAAGACTTCCCCATACCAGTTTTCTCTCTGTCAGCACACACCCCTGGTCTTCAGTTTATAGTAAAAAAACCAGAGATGTCCTTTTTTTGACTTCAAGCTGTAAAGACAGATCAATATCAGAAGCCAGAGTAAGGTAATAGCAAGGGACTAGGTGAGAAAGTTTAAGCTTTGTTTTCAACAAAAGCATTTCCTGTGTGGAGCAAAAATGGTGATGCTTTGTAGAGAAAAACAATTTTTAAATATATGGAGGCATAATATTTATGAAAACATGAAATATTTAAAAGTGAGAAGATAAACATATTCCCTGTCTTAGTGCATTTGGGCTGAAATTGTTGAAGAAAAAAATTATTTGATGATAATTGTTAAACCATAGTAAGGAAGACTTTATTCAGGATTATGCAATAGGTAGGGACTATAGCAATGGGATTTTGCAGTGGAGAGAGACTGCACTCAACTCTAAGTACATAAATACAGCATAGGCAAGTAGAAATTTATAGCCAAGGAGTAGGGTAGGGGTCAGTGGATGGAAAATTACTAAGAGGGAATATCAAGGCTGGAGAGATTCTTGTTAAAGACAGGCCAGGGTGATCAGACATCACCTGTGGGATGGTAGAGGATGAGGAACCTGATCCAACATTGAGGCTGATCATGTATTAAGGGTGTTGGGGGTGGGGTTCTTGCTAAACTGACTTAGTAGGGTTCTTTACTAAAATTGGATTTTATAAGGAAATGCACAGAGGAGCCTGTGAGACAGTTTAGGAGCCTGACTAAAATTTGGCCAAGCAAAAAAATTGTCACTACAACAAAAATACCATAGACTGGGTGGCTTATAAACAATAGAAAGGTATTTCTCATAGTTTTGGAGGTTAGTATCATGATGCCAGCAGATTCTGTGACTGGTGAGGGTCCATTTTCTGGTTCATAAATAGCCATCTCTTCACTGTGTCCTCCCATGACAGAATGAGCAAGAGAGGTCTCTCCTCTTTTATATGGACACACTAATCCCATTCATGAGGTTTGAGCCCTTATGACCTAATCACACTGTACTTCCAAATACCATTGTGTTGGGGATTAGGTTTCAACATAAGAATTTTACTGGGCAAGGGGACACAAACATCCAATCTATAGCACTCCAGAGCAAAGATATAACCAACAACACTTATAATCAACAACTGAGTTGAGCTATTTTATTATTAGTCAGCTTGCTTAGTCCAGTTTTAGCGAGAATCCTGTTGAATCAGTTTAGTGACATCCCTCCACCCTTGGTATCTAATCACCTTCAATATCTGATCAAATTTCTCACACTTCACCTGGCCTGCCTTCAGCAAGAATCTCTCTTAACACGGATGTTTCCTCTTAGTAATTTTTCATCCACTGACCCCTACCCTGTTCTTTGGTTGTAAATCCCTAGTTGTCCTTGTATTCAGAGTTTAGTCCAATCTCTCTCCCCTACTGCAAATCCCCTGCTACAACAGACCTTCACTTTTTTTTTTTTCTTCCTTTTTTGGGGACAGGGTCTTGCTCTGTCCCGGGTTAGAGTACAGTGGCATGATCACAACTCACTGCAACCTCAAACTCCTGGGCTTAACCAGTCCTCCTGCCTCAGTCTCCAGGGTAGCTGGGGCTGCAGATGTGTGCCACCACACCCAGCTAATTTTTTCTATTTTTTGTAGAGATGGGGTCTTGCTTTTGCTTAGGCCGGTCTTGAACTCCTGGCCTCCAGTGATTCTCCTCCTCAGCCTCCCAAAGTGCAAGGATTATAGGTGTTAGCCACCACACCTGGCCCAGTGGCCCTTCTTAAATAAAGTCTTCCTTACTGTCTTTAACAAGTGTCATGAATAATATTTTCCTGAATACTACTCCCCACTCAATCTTTCAGCTCCAGGTGAACTGGACTTCTTTTTCCTGCCTTAACACCTTTGCATAGGCTGTTCATTTGTCTATGACTTTGTTCTCCTAGCTAACTACTATTATTCTTCAAACTAAACATAATTTTATTATATATATTTTACTATAATATTCCCTGAACCCCAAGGCTGGTTAGCACTCATGCTAGATATTCTATGGCACTCTTTCCTTTTTAACATTCTTCACATTTGTAATTTCTTTTTCATTGTAAATTCTTTAAAGACAAAGACAACATTGGCTTTGTTTGCTACTGTGTCCCCAATACCTACTATGAGTTGGCACACAGTAGGCCCTCAAATATTAGTTGAATACCTGAGTGAACACACACATACAAGACCAACAAATTTAAGCAAAAGAACAAAATAATGAAATTAGCTTAATTTTTATGTTCACTTCTAATTTTATTATGACATTGATATACAAATTAAAGATTGACTTAATATTTAATTTTTATCAACTGCAGATTTGGTGTCATTATATTAACCATAGCTTTTCAAAAGAAAGGTCTTCACACTTGACTAATGTGGTAAAATATTAACGATGGCACTGACTTTCTAGCTCATCAATATGCTAAAAGAGGATATGTTTACTTTTTTAAAAAAGTAATAAATCAAACCACAAGCCACAACATAATATTTTATGTGAGCTGGAAGCATCTTTTTCCCTCCAGCATCTATATTATCAAAGTTCCAGGGGGACAAAAAAAATCTTAGAAGACAAAAAAATGTAGCTTAAGCATTTTGCTTTCTTTTTGTGGAGCTTCTAGTTACTACTGGCATTTGTGAGAAATTAACAGTTGCTTTGGCTTTCAAAGCTTTTTTAAAGTATTTAAAAATGGACTGAAGGCTAGAGGAAGGGGCTAAGTTGTATTTTTCTGTGCCAGCAGAAACCGTAGGAAACTCCTTTTTCAAAACGGTAGCTTCAGGTTTATCCAAAGGCTTAGGACTTGTCACCCATTCCCGGCAGTGGTGCTTTATCCATGCTAATAATTGTACGTCACTTCCCAGCTGGTGTCCTACATGATGTTCAGAGTCAATAAGCGCAACAGCGTATACTTTGCTCATGACTTCCCACTTTCTACTAACAAGTAAGTCCATGAAAACCAAGCCTCCATAACCATGTACAATGAAGGCAACATCCTTGCCTTCAGTCTTTGAAATGAAGTAATCCCATATGTAAGCCATGTGTTCTTCAGGGGTGTTGCTGTATCTTTTTGGAATGCATTGGGGAGGATGCTTAAGAGAGAGAAAGCTCTCAGCTTGAGTCATTTTTTGGGAAGAGGACTCAATATTTTTATTTTGTGTTAAAGGCCCATTCCACTCTTTTTCTGTATTTAGGTCCATAAAACTGTCATTGGGGTTTAGCACAATTACATCATAATGTGCCTGCAATGCCATCTGAATACACGGTATCTGACTTCCATGTTGGAGACCATGATGTATTATTGCCTGCTGACTCCACTGACCAGCTCGGAAGACCCCGTGGTCTTGAAGAAGGACAAGAAGAACAGAATGATAATTTGTTAATGCTCTCTCACTCATGAAAAAGAAGCTTCTTGGTTCTTTATCAGCCTCTGGTGGGATATATACTTTTTGTAATTTGCACACTTTCTCCAAAAGCTCATAAATGTATTGTTCAAGCAAATGGCCAAGGGCTTGGTAGCGCTTGCTATTTCTCTCAAGGACATTTTTATAATAGTTAAAGACAAAAGGCCTTTGTGTCTCGGTGTGTCTCAATTCAGCATTGTCATTGAAGTCATATTTAAGTTCTTCTAGTAAGTCAGATTGTTCAATAAATTTTTGGAAGCTTAGCTCCTGAGTCATTGGTAGCCACTGAAAGTAAAAAACAGCAATAATGTATCAGTGTTAGAAAAAAGTAAAATAAAATTTTCAGTTTGCCAAATTCTTCCAGTGGGACATCATGCTAAATTAAGCACTTCAGGAAGACATTAACCTTTTAAACTTTTGTTTTTTGAGACAGAGTCTTGCTCTGTCACCCAGGCTAGAGTGCAGTGGCATCATCGTAGCTCACTGCAACTGCCAACTCTTGGGCTCAAGCAATCCTCCTGACTCAGCCTCCCTGGTAGCTGGGACTCTAGGCACCCACCACTGTGCTTGGCTAATTTTTTCTATTTTTAGTAAAAATGGGGTCCCACTCTTGCTCAGGCTGGTCTCCAACTCCTGACCTCCAGGGATCTTCACGCCTTGGCCTCCCAGAGAGCTAGGATTACAGGCATGAGCCACTGTACCTGGCCTATGGTAAAGACTTTAACTCAAAATAATTATGAATTATACAAAGTAGTGAGAGACAGAATATATGGAGGGACAATGGACAGATCATGCTATGATTTGGATATGATTTGTTTAGTCCTGCCAAATCTCATGTTGAAATTTGATCCCCAGTGTTGGAGGTGGGACTTCATGGAAAGTATCTGGGTTGTGAGCGTAGATCTCTCATGAGTGGCTTGGTGCCATTCTCACTGGAGAAGTGAGTTCTCACTCTTAGTTCCTGCAAGAACCAGTTGTTGAAAAGAGCCTAGTACCTCCTCTGCTCCCCGTTCTTCTCTCTTCTTTTCCTCTTCCTCTCTTGCCACGTGATCTCTACATGCTGGCTTGCCTTTACCTTCTGCCATGAATGCCAGCAGCTGGAAGCCCTCATCAGAAGCAGATGCTGATGCCACTTCTTATACAGCCTGCAAACCTGTGAGCCAAATAATCCTCTTTTCTTTATAAATTACCCAGGCTTTGGTATTTCTTTGTAGCAACACGAACAAACCAAGACAGACCACATATAAATATAGAGCTTTGATCCACACCTCCAGCAACCCTTCCCAGGACATTAATCCCTTATCTACAATAAACCCAGGAAGTCACCCTGGCATAAGTTGGACTGTCAGGAAGCCATATTTTTATCTCTAGTGACAATCTGGAAGACTAACCAATAATTTCTCTAATGATTGGCTCAAAATGGCCAGGACTTAATAACTGACAGCTTCTCTAATTTTTGTCATCACTTCTAACTTGGGACCGGGGAAAGCCAGATATGTACCCCTCACCAATCACATATGATTGCCCCTCCCTTTTAGTTAGCCCTCCTCGCTTCCCATGGCAACAGCTGGCAGTCAGGGAAAACCTGAAGTCTCTTTTTTCCACTCCCCTGACTGCCTTTGAGTCTCTGCTCAAATGCAAGGGATAATGGCTGAGTCTCTTTCTATAGCAAGCTCAGAATAAATAGGCTTTGCTTTCCTCATTTTGTTGGTCTTCATTTATTTCTACAGTAGACATTTAATACATTTTGCTGTTAAATAAATGGCAGAACAGTGTGGGTAAAATGTGAATCAGGCAGTATAGGTTATGATCAATTCATCTAATACCAGAAGATATGGTTATTCTGATATCTGAGAAGGAAAAAAATAGGTTGAATGAGAAGTTAATTTACACAGTTTCTGTGCGTAGAGCTTAAGGGGAAAAGAAAAGACTCTGAAAGATTAAGCGGCTTGCCCTAAAGGCAAATAAATATTGAAAGATGGTGTAAGATGGTGTAAGAGGCTGACTCTCAAATTCCCATTCTTAAATACACTAACATTCTCCCTTTCAGTGCAACTCAAACTGCCAGCAGGCCTAAGACAAAATTAAGTTTGCTTGTTCCGATTTCTTAACTGTTTTCTCACTTTCTGAATCTTATTCTCTGACTCCCATACTCAACTGGTACTTTATGAAGATTTTTAGTTGTCCAAAGCATCTATCTATTCTCTATTCCTTCCTGTTCCATTAAAAACTCGTATAATGTTGCTGATCTCAGGTGTTATTAGGTAGTTAATATATTTTTCCTAAAGTGTAAATGACTGGCTGACTTAACTATCCTTTAAAACGAGAAGCCACTGGAATTCGATCAATTTAGGTTTCAATCCTAGCTCCAAATTTCCAAGCTGAGTAACTTTCAGCAGGTTTCTTGTCTTCTGTGATTCATCTTCAATTCTAAGTTTTAGTTTAAGTTATCAAAAATAATTCTTGCTACTTTATATCCAGCTATGATGCTTTATCTTTCCTCTTCATAGCCTGTATTACCACCTCACACATAACTATTTGCATATTTTTTATCAGTCTTCTATCAGAAGAATTAAAGCTCTATGTGAAAAGGAACTTTAAGTCATGGCTGTACATTCAGTGCTTAGAACAGTGTCTGGCACATATTATATAATTTTTTAAATGAATAAATGCAAAATGGTGATAACGTCAATTACCTCACAAGGTTGTTATGAGAATTAAATGAACTAATGAATGTAAAAACCATTTTACATAATGTCTCACACATGGAAGTTTCTGGAAATTAGGATGATCTAATGATAGGAGATATGTGAAATAAAACTACATATATATTTCTTGTTCCTTTTTCTCTATATTATCTATGATTTTTATCCACATTAATAAATGTAATTCTATTTTATTCATTGTATCTGTTTATAGTGTTCTATTGCTTGAATGTGCTGTTATTTAACCATTTGCCTTTTGAGGAATATTTAGCTTGCTCCAATTTTCCACTATCACAAGCAAAGCTGCAATGAATATTCTTCTACATATATTTTTGTGTACATATTAAGAATTTCCCTAAGCAATATAGCTAGAAGTGAGATTTCTGGGTCATTTCCGCATTCTCCATTTTAACCAGACATTGCCAAATTGCTCTCCAAAAGGAAAGTCTATTTCATAATTTGGAATGAAAGAGGAGGTTTGCACAGAAAAGTAATCTCTCAAATCTAAAAATGTTGTGTTTATTCAGGTGCTGTGCTGTAAACTACCTTTTTCTGAACTAAAAATAAAGAGAAGGATACAGAATATTTAAAACTCAAATTAAGCAAAGAAAGTTGTTAGCTAAATATTTAGCTTTTTCTTCAAAGGATGAATAAACAAAATCAGTATTTTCTAGTAGCATCCTATTACTCTTTTTCTTTTCTTTTCTTTTTTTTTTGAGACAGAGTCTCTGTTGCCCAGGCTAGAGTGAGTGCCATGGCGTCAGCCTAGCTCACAGCAACCTCAAACTCCTGGGCTCAAGCAATCCTCCTGCCTCAGCCTCCCGAGTAGCTGGGACTACAGGCATGCGCCACCATGCCCGGCTAATTTTTTGTATATATATTAGTTGGCCAATTAATTTGTTTCTATTTATAGTAGAGACGGGTCTCGCTCTTGCTCAGGTTGGTTTCGAACTCCTGACCTTGAGCAATCCGCCCGCCTCGGCCTCCCAGAGTGCTAGGATTACAGGTGTGAGCCACCGCCCCCGGCTGTCTTTTTCATTTTTGTTAGGTGTTTGTGTCCCTAGTTTGTTGAGAGAGAATTCTCAGGAGGAAAGAATGGGAATTGGCAAAAAAAAAAATAAAAAAAAAAAAAAAAGAAAAAAGAAAAAAGAAAAGAAAAAATAGCACACAGGTATATAAAGGATTGGTAGACTTGGGGTGAATAGGATCAAGGTGGTATCTCATAGAAAAAGATAGACAATTCTTTAGAATTAATTGTAGTACATTGTGCTTGGCTAATATACTCCAACCTGTAATCGTCTCCTTGACAAGCTGTCCAACTGTCTGCCTAGTGTATCTACTGGATGTCAAATAGCCATCTCAAATTTAACATGTTTAAGACATTCCCTTCAATCTACTCCTGCCAGTTTCTCCTACCTTAGTAATGAGAACTTCATTCTTTCACTTGGCTCATGCTGTAAACTTCTCTTCTCTTCCACACCCCACATGCAATCAATCAGCAAATCTATGGGTTCTGTTATTTGAAAGATATCTATAATCTAATCATCTATTCCCTCTACTTTGACCACCCGAGAACAAGTCACCATCAACTCTCACCTTCATTAATAGTCTACTATTTAGTCTCTGCATAAGCTTGTCTCCCTCTAGTCTGTTTCCCACATAGCAGTCAGAATGATCCTTTCAAAACATCTGAATTGGATGTTACATCCTTGCTCAACATTTTTAATGGTAATATGTTTGTTGAATTCCTGTTTCTGGTCTGGCATGTAAAAATCTTGGAAGTTGCTACTGAGTCTTAACAAGAAATAAAAAGCTGAACAAACCTAAGCAACTCTTTTTAGATCTGAAAGAAAAGTGAGCTTACTGGGCAAACCACTGCCTCCAAAACTACAGAGACTGACAGGTGAATGCAGAGAATCAAAATTTCTCAGAGCAGAAACAAGGAACTGAAACATCCAATAGAACCAGTGCCCAGATAGGGACCTGAACTATATAATTAGCAACTTACTGGAGCTCTGTATGGACAAGTCTGGGGAACAAAAACTCTAGGGGATCCATTCCCCATCCCCTTCTTTTGTGAGTTTTACCTCTTAGAGCTCTAACAGGTCCACAGGTCCTCACGCTAACCATCTATGCCGCTGGCAG